CCTGGCTATTTTTTGGTTGCAGCCGTCATTGTTTTTTTGGCGGGACTGGACAGGATTCGAACCCGCCAGCCACTTGAGCCACAGGCACTGAGCCGCAATATGCATTTAGTAGAAACTGTACATTGAATTTTGATCTTTTGCTGGGCTAATGATAGTGACACGATACTCCCTTGTGGTGCTGGGCAGCTGCAGAGCTGCAGCTCCAGGTCAGCCACACAGTCTATAGGGTAAGCTACTGATACTTTACTATGTATTGTGTTGCTAGAGGATTTTGCCAAACTGTAGGCTAATGTGTGTATTCTGGGCACATTTAAGGTAGGCTAGGCTAAACTATGATGTTCAGTAGGTTATGTGTATTAAGTGCATTTTTTATTACGGTGAAAAGATAGATATTTAGATTTAGACTTGGTTTAGATGATCCCAATTTTGTTAGCAATGTCCAAATCATTGTAATTGGAAACCAGTGGAATATATGCCTTCTTGTCTCTATCAGGCCTGATCAGGGTGTTGACTTTGGCCACATCAGTGTCATAGAGCTGCTTCACAGCCTGTTGGATCTGGTGCTTGTTGTTAGCTCTGATGTCCACAGTGAACACAGTGTGTAGTTGTCTTCTGTCTTCTTCATGGCAGACTCAGTGGTCAGGGGAACTTGATGAAGGCATAGTGGTCAAACTTGTTTCTCCTGGGGGTGTTCCTTCGAGGATATTTGGGCTGCCTCTAGCAGCCTCTAGCCAAGGTGTCTCTAGCCATTGGAAGGTGGATGATGTATAGGTCTTTTTGTGGCTGTGGATGCCTTTTAGAGCTGCCTTATTGGCCTTTGCTTTTACTTTGGCTTTGAGAGGGTCAGGAGCGTCCTTCTTTGCCTTCGTTGCCGTCTTGTGAAAGGCTTAAATGCATTCTCAACTTTTACAGTTTACAATGGGATTTATTGGGGTGTAATGTCATCGTAAGTGGAGGATCATCTGTATTATAAATTTGAGAGTGGGTGCTAGGAACTAGGTGGTCAAGTTTGGTTTTGAAAAGTTCAGTCAGTTACAGTTAAAAATGTCTCAAGTGGTAGAGAAAAGTTCACTTATTAGTACCCTTAGTCTTTTTCTTGTCCTAAAATACTTAGTACGTCATAACTGTACAGCATAGCTTAGTTTCCTTTTACTGTGATTTTTATTTTTTTAAGCAGGAGCTATTTGAGGAATTGCAAGATGGTACTTGTATAACTTAGAAAAGCCCAAGGTTGATTCTGATCACTACTGTTAGACAGTAGTGATTACAGTTTCTATTTCATAGGGCTCCTAGGAATTAAATGAGATAGCAGTCAGCACATAGACTCAATAAATATTAGTTAGGGTAAATTGTCATCACTCCCACTCGTACCAACACTTGTGTTTTTT